TAAAAACTTTAACAATTTTTCTTCGTTTGTGTACTTTTCATAAAATAAAAGTATTACATAAAATGTATTAGTTTATGTATTATATAACTAAAAGCAGAAATATATTTGAAATCTTTTTTATTATAAGTTACATTAAGCCGACTTTAATTTATCTAACAAACTGTCATAACTTTTTGTATATATCAAAAAATATTATATAAACATTTCTATGTATCAATTTAAAAATGTTTATTAACGGCATTTTTCATTTTTTTCTTTATTTCAAGTATAGTTCATATTTTAACTCTCCTAAAGTGTACTATTTCTTAATTTGCCAATTAAGTTTAGTGATCCAAATCAAGGAATTTATTTTATTATTGTAAAGGGTGTTAGACCCCAAATCTCTCGATTTTAGGTAGGAATCGCAAAAATAACTTCACAAGTCTATTGAAGTTGAAAATCGATTTTTCTTTATAACTTTTTTGTATTTCAAAACACGGAAAAAAGTAATCTTAATTTGTGATGTTCCATCAGCTTCTAAATTTATGGTAGCTTTTGCTTGTATAATTCAATGAGGTTTGTGTAAAAAGAAGATTGATTTTGCAAAAATAAACTAACTTAAGCTGAAGTAACATAGTGACATTTTTTAATTTTTTATTTACCTATTTCCTTTTTCAGCGTAGGATTTCTGGTTAAACAAAAATAATTTCATAAAAACAACCCTTGAATGACATATTTTTTTAATTTTTAGTAATTGTTATTTTATGCATTTTTATAAAATTCTCCTTTTTTTCATGGACTTTTCAAATATGTTGTTCGTATTCGAATTTTACATAATGAGAGTTTTTCAGTTACAATGCGGATATTAAACAACTACTTTGAAATTTCCGTTCACAAAATTTTGTCACAGGAATTACCAGATTACATGACATTTATCGTTTATCATGCCCATGGATGTCAATATTTCCATTTTTAGAAAGTGTAAATCAGCTTTCGCTGTTGTTTATTTCAGATTTAAATGTTTTATTTTCATATCAGAGTATCTCGCTAAACATCTCCGGTAAATCTACTTTCTCATATCAGCAGTTCCAAAAACCACCAATAAAAATTAAATGTAGTGATTAATATTCTGTTAAACGTAAAAATTGATAAAATGAATATATCTATGTCAAAACATCTGTAAATTAACTTCGCTGATAGTCTAACGATGTGTTCTTTGATATGATTTAAAAAAACTTGGTCATTTTTATAATGGCATCGTAAAAGGTATTAAAACATTTGAAATTAAAGCCAATGTTCTTTTGTGTTGTCATAATTCTTAGTTTATCTTGATTGACTTAGAGATAATCGGTAATTTATTTCACAACACTTACCTAACAGAAACAAGATGTACCTTTTGCATACAAATATGTGATACTGAATCAAAGAAAAGTATTTTGCAATTGATGTTAGAAACAATTATATGTATATAAAAGTGAAATTAATAGCACTCATGGTAATATTTATCTAGCGGAATACTTAAATATTTGTAGTTTCCACTAGTGAAGACGTTAAGTAACTTTTGTATTAGATACTAAATAAACTAAAGATACTGAAAAAATCAAGGATATAAAGTGTTAATAGCTAGAGAATAGATTATTAAAAGATGTAAAAGTATACAAGACATTTCTGAGTTAATTCGATATCCTTTTATTCAAATAAGTGCGTTTGGAACATTCCTAATATTAATTCTCTAGCAAAAGTCGTTGCCTTATCCTGTATGGTAACCTGATATTGAAAAATGTTACGTTTTATAGAAGAATTCAAAATTTATCCACAAGAGTTAAAGAAATCTTACGAAAGACTGACTAATAATATTAGAAATACAACAGTTATATAGAATATAAGTACAACGGCAAGAGTGATTTGTAATAAAAAATTGCAGTTGAATATCGCAAATAATCTTTGAAATATCTTCATATTAGTCTAGTTTTCAGAGAAAATTGTCACTAGAATTATATTTCAAATGTCCTGTTTGCATTAATCAACCTGTATTATCAAGTCCTTTCTCAGTACGTACAGCTTGACCAAAGTTCATCTTATCAGCAAGTATCAAATGTTCAGTGACAACATTACCAGACTAGCACTGGAGCTCATTTTCTAATTCATCATTTTCATTTCATTTTCTATTTTGAATATCTGCTCTAGTATTAAGACCTCCTATCCTTCTTTCTCTTGATCTATGCAGACAAAAGGAGTTTTGATCAGGATGTTTGAAGAAAGAAATATAAATGGTGAAGGAGTCTATCAACGGCAATCTCATTTTCTATGCATCTATCTCTTTTTAATGAAAATATATCAATGTATTTTTCCCAACACATGGAATTTTAGCATTTACAGTTAGAATTGTGAAAAGCATGTTCTTCGAATGTTTGAAACACCAATGGAGGTATTTAAGAACCGGAAATGAACGTGGCATAGAAAGTGCGTCCATAAAGAGCTAGCAGATGTGGAAATATTTATTTATAACCAAAATTATGTTAATCCTTAGTATTTCACTCAGTTCATAACTTTCAACAAAGACGATCTGGTGAAAGGGAATGAACTAGTTCATTATCTTTTAATAAGTTGCTTATTACATTAGTTATTTAATTGTATTATCTTATTATCATAATTTAGCTCACAGTTACGTCGGATTCATTGACAATCTTCAAAACGTGATTTGTTGAAGTCTTCTTATATAATAGATACATTTACAGTTTTCCTATGTTTACTGTCACACTAGTAAATGATCAATTTACAATTGGACATTTAAAAAAAATATGAACGTCAAACTCTGCGAGTAGTCATTAAAAGACTTGTTATTTGATCTATACTTTTTTTGTAATTACATAATAGGTAAAGGAAAACATTAAAGTTCATTAAAAAATATAAAAAGCATGTTTAATTTTTAAGTTGCTGCTGTTATATGCCAATTTTAGTTAAATTATTTTAATGGCGTTCTTTCAGAAACACCTTCAAACTTTAAATTATCTAAGTCATGTAATGTGTCTGATACTTGAACAGTTGTAAGGATTGCTGTATTTCACAGTGTCGAACACCATCAATAAAGAACTGAACTGCTAGCTACTCTATAAAGGCTTGCGGGACTGTTGGATACGTCAAGTGAATTAATCGGTCTACATCAGTCTCATACTGTTGTAAACTCCCATTTGTTCTTTGAATCCTTGCTTTTAGCAACGCTTGGTAGACTTGTTGTAGGTGATTGTCATCAAATCTCATTTCCAATTGTGGCAATAGGTCGTTACAATGATTGTATCTAATCGCCTAAAGTTTGTAAAACTTCTAAAGTGTCACCTTACAAAGGTACTACTGGGGTTACCAGTCCAGACAACTTTCGTACGGCATTGAAAAATGTCATCAAGCCCTGGGGGCTGAATCTAATAATATTTTCTTTTAACAAACTCGATGGAGTAAATGTTCGGAAATATATCTCATTGCAAAGCAAGAGCAGAAGTTTTTATTGAAAACATGATGGAGAGATTTAACCGGACTCTGAAAAATTACCACGAATTGTTGTTAACGAATATCAAGCCGTCCGGGACCTAAACATACCTCTTTTCTTACTGGCTTATCGATCAGCAGTTCATTAGACTACCAGAAAAACATCAACCAGCATAGTCTTCAATAGAGAATTGAAGCTACCCTTTAGCATTGTTGCCACTCAGAACATCGAACAATGTACACTGGAAGACTACCCATTTGACTATTAAAATAATCAGGTGGGAGAGATACATTGGAGTGAAAACTTACTATTTTATGTTTATACATTTATTTCCTTGTTTATTTCTAGATGTTTCTTCATGTTCTTTTACATTTTCTCATGTTCTTTGAAACCTATATATTACTACTGTTCTTAGAAATTTATATAAATTTCAAGAAACAAAGAAGTATGTAAACGATCGCGCTAATGCTCAAAAGAAGGTTAACTTGTACTTTTGTTATTCTGAAATGTCAAAGTTATCAAAAATTCTAAAATGTTGTATAAAAATTGTGCCAAATAAAAGCAATTTGGTAAAATATTTTTTCTACTAAAGGATTCCCTAACCAATCGAACAAACTGTAATTTTCGTTTAAGAAAGTACAAAAATAATTAAAAGGAGATAATTTTCATATCGTAAGGAGAAAGTTCGCTCGAATTGGCAACTGAGACTGTAAACCAATAAATTATGTACTACAATTTTCTTGGCAAACAATTTTAATATTAACAATTATTATTAATAATATATTAACAAGATAGTCACAATTTAATAAGTTACAACAGACAGTTCAATAGATTTTGTTTCAGGTAGCTGGTTCACCTTTGTAATAGAATACATTCCAGTAAAATGCTTTACTAATTGGAGCTCTGACTAATATGTCAATACTAATACAGGTAAAACATATATAATGTTATAAAATGCATCACAGTATTAATATAAATGTCGGATATTTACTGTAATAGTACCTATATAATAAATATCAAGGGGTGGTTACTACGAACAATAGAGGAAAAGAAATAAATTATAAATGTCATTCATGTATGATTTTCTTTACATATGGAAAAGTTGGTCGACGATTAATGACTTATCCGACTCATGTGAAAAATTTCTTTAATCGGAATTTTGAAAAATATTAACACTTATTTTTGTATCTTCGGCATTTTATATTTCAATATAATCCTAAATAGATTCAGAAAAGAGACACTTGACAAAGTATTCAAAATAAAGGTAGATGACATATTTCGGTAAACACAAAAATAAAGTAACAACAATACTTCATAATGAGCAATAATCATTACCTAAACAGAAAAATAATGTAAATAATCCCGAAGAATTTACAATCGTGTCAACTTTAAAGTTTAATTTATTTTTCGCTACCATGCTCACAGATGTTATTTTCATATTCCTTAATTTATTTTTAATAAAACATGTAGTATAGTATGACAATTTTATTACTTTTTTGTTACTAATTGAACTAGACTTTCTTTGGCCTTAAAACATGAAAATATAAAAAAATATATTAATTTCAATTAGATATTATGATTTAATACATTGTGATGAGAAGATATACTTTAATAATCGCCACATTTACATAATTGTCCCCTACCTGCTAAATCAGTTAGTTTTAGTCAATGGGATTTTGATGATGCTGAGAGAACAGATGTTATAAGTTGGAATATGACTTTAAAAAGATTGGAACCGCCACCCTAAAAATACAAAATTAATTAGAGTTTAAATACTTAAAAAATAAAGAGAAATGTATTAATAATCCCCAAGCTTATTAATAACTGATGGAGAAAAGTATTGCATATAAATTACTGAAGATATTGATGGCTAGCCTACATTTTATTTTATTAACCTTTTCACATATTACAACAGAAATATTATAAAGTTCTAAATTACCCCTCCTTGGTCATTTCCTCCACCACTGGAGTTCAATATTGTTTTAAGTAATCCAGATAGAAATCCACCAGAATCTAAACCCTGTGGTTTATTCATCGCCATATCCATATCATCAGCAGGAGGCTGTAACAGTGAGAATTATTTTTTAAACTTTTTAGTTCTTTTAGTCGACAATTCCAATAATGAACTAATAGGTACATCGTGACTTATTTTAATATTATTATCAGAGCTAGAGCAATTTTTTCCTGGGTTAATTTCAAACATTTTTTCTTATATGAACATATGTCCAATTCGTTTTTGTTTAGAACTTACAAGCATTTAAAAATATATAGTTAACTTTTATTAACCAAATTAAGACCGTAAAAATGTTCAAAATGTTCATCCTCGGCTTGAATGCAAGCCTTACATCGGCGAAATAAAAATTTCATCACTCGGTGGATGAGATTTAGATAATTTCCTGTCTGGTGAGTTACATCCTGAATCCTTTCAAAGTAGCTCTTGATGGGTAGTTATTTCAATATGGTAAACAAGCTGCTTCATATGTCCCCATAAATAAAAGTCCAAAGGATTTAGATCTTGGAAAAGCGGTGGTCATACTATTGGACCTTGCTGGCATTTCCATTTATTCGGGAAATGATCATTTAACCAAGCAGTTACATGTCTCCCTATGTGTGGTGGCACATCATCGTGCTCATACTACATATTTTGAGCAATATTAAGCCCTACGTCATCAAAGAAATGAAAATGGTTTTCCAAGGAAGTTCTATACATATTTGGATTTAAACGATCATTTAGAACATGTAGCGACAGTAAATTATTGTTGAAAGGGCTACCCCAAACGTTGACACTGAAACGTTGCCTAAATAGTTTTGATGTAATTACAAAATTCTAGTCGCTGACGAGCATCAGCATGTAACGTACATTTGTACATTTTGGCGATGAAACGGTTATAACATTTCTCTGTTCAATACATACCATATAAAATTCGGTGATAAATGAAAAGATTAATTGCTATACTCCAAACACTAATTGAAGAGTTATTAATGGCAGCATCTATTATATCTTTTTCAATTTCTACATTCACTTCAGTAGGATGAATGGCCTCTTTTGGAGCGGGGTTACCTTCTTCTCGAAGTCTACGAAATGATGCATTAAAGACTATGATGGTTGATGTCTACTTGGGTATATTTGTTGGTATTCTCGGGACACTTGTCGTTTCCATTGGAATACCCATATACAAAGACAATATCTACATACCCTTTAGTTGTAAATAAATGCATTTTTATTTAACACTTTAACGCTAAGAGTTAAATGAATAAACAAAATGACACAAATAACAATTATTGTTCATCATTTTTATTTATCAATATTTTTTAAAATGGATGTAACATTTAAACAATAAGAATCGGATCTATGTTTATATCAGAACAAATGTGCAGGAGTTTATTTTTAAAAATATGTAATTATATGATGAATAATATTAATATACATATGTATAATAATAATATACAGGGATGGCGAGAAGTACGAAATAAAATTCATATCTTTTGAATGAGTGATTTTTTTTTAAAACGCCGAAACACGTTAACTGATTTTGATTTTTTCCCATCTTTCGGTTATATAATAATTAATTTTTCTTCAAGTCCCTAACCCCAGCTACCCCTACTTTCTTTTCAAATGGAAACATAAGGCATGAGGGGGCTTGTTGAAAAGCTTATCGAAAACCGAATCCAGGCATACCAAATAAACAAGTTTTATTTTTTCAAGAGCAAGGTTTTTAGGGTTGTATAAAACATCTACTTAACAAGTGAATTAAAATTTAATTATAACACCTCCATGAATTTTCACAGAATAAAATAAAGAATTTGAAACTGTACTAACGCAAAAAAGATATACTTTTTATGTTGCGTTTTTTTGGCACCACTTACTTGCCAGGCGTTCTGGTTAATTTTTCGCTTTAGTTGTAAATTGGAGTTCGAAACGTTACTATTGTGTCAAAATCAATTTATTTACTGAATTGCAATGGTATTGTCGGAAAGGCAACGCATCGAAATCTTGATATTGCTTGGATGTGGAGACAAAATAAGAAGTCAGGCTGAAGTGCGCGATTTATTTAATGCGAAATATCCCGAAAACCAAATCTCGCAAGGGACAGTTAGTAAAATATTTCACAAATTTGAGGAACACGGTACAGTACAGACTTTGCCCAAAACTGGACGGGCACGTGCTTTGAATGAAGAAAAGAAATTAGACATTGCATTAGAACTTGTTGAAAATCCTCATACTTCAACTGTTTCATTGGCCCGCAATCACGATGCTTCTCGAACTGCAATTCGAATGTTTCTGAAACAAGAGAAATACCACCCCTATAAGGTATGTCTTGTCCAAGAGCTTTTGGAAGACGATTATGATAGGCGATTACAATTTTGTGAGGAAATGATGAGACGGTGTGACGACAATAATGGTTTTCAACGAGACGTACTTTTTTCGGATGAAGCTACGTTTTATTTAAATGGAGTGGTTAACAGGCACAACTATCGCTTTTGGTCCCAGGAAAATCCACACTGGACATGCGAATCGCATACGCAGCATCCACAAAAAGTTAATGTATGGGCAGGTATCATCAACAACAGAATCTTGGGCCCATTCTTTTTTGAAGAAAATCTTACTGCCGCACGCTACCTGGATTTCCTAACATTTGACCTGATACCTGCTCTAGCTGTGATTTTCCCTCATGAAATTGATCCAGATATACCGAATGAAAGAATTTGGTTCCAACAAGATGGCGCTCCCCCACATTTTGGTATTGATGTTCGAAGATACTTAGATGAAATGTTTCCAAATCGCTGGATTGGTAGACGGGGTACAGTTGAATGGCCGCCAAGATCCCCCGACTTAACACCCCTGGATTATTTTCTTTGGGGATATTTGAAAGAAAGAGTCTACCAGGACAGACCGGATAATATTGAGAATTTAAAGAACAAGATTAGGGCGGAGATGCATAATTTACCAGCTGAAGTCATTCATAATGCTGTGGACAGCTTTTACTATCGTCTTGGAGAAAGCCAAATGGTGAATGGAGGACATTTTCAGCATTTACGACATTGAGTTTATTTTCGTAAATTATCTAGTTGTTTCAATTTCTAAATGAAAAAAAACTTGTTATTGAAAAAATAAAACTTGTTTGGTTTTTTATTGAAAAAATAAAACTTGTATTTTGTATGGCTGGATTTGGTTTTCTATAAACTTTTCAACGAGCCCCCTCATGCCTTATGTTTCCATTTGAAAAAAAAAGTAGGGGTAGCTGGGGGTTAGGGGGATGAAGAAAAATTAATTATTATATAACCGAAAGATGGAAAAAAATCAAAATCAGTTTCACGTGTTTCAGCGTTTTAAAAAAAAATTTACTCATTCAAAAGATATGAATTTTATTCCATACTTCTGGCCATACCTGTATAATTTCATATAAAAAAATTTTCATATTTTGAATTGTTTTATCAGCAGGTAAAAGAAGAACACCCTGAACAAAGCTCTTTTGTTTTGTTTCTTATATAATGCACACTAAAAATTGTTGTTCTGTAGATTACATTAAATTATGGAATTACAGAGATTTTTTTATGTTTAGCTTTTTAGTTTTTTCTTCAGTGTTATTTGACTTACGGTATGTTCTTCCGCAACATAGTAAAAGGATATGAGTCAAATCTTGTGACTGGATTTGATGTATTTTCATAAAAAGTAAAAACCTACATAGCGCAAGTGTGAATGGTTGCTTAGTTTCACTTACCGGCCCACTCAAGGCTGGTAGAATACCAGTTATGACCTTTCCTGTAAATATTCCAGCTCCCTTCTAAAAAATAATAAAAAAACGTTAAATAACCTTACCTATATCACAGTGTTTAAAAATCAAATAGAACAGGAGTGTATTGTCTATTAAATGGATTAGTCAGCGGTATTTTAAATTATAAAAAATTGTATATGTATTTTACAGTGGAATGATACAATATACAGTGAGGCCCACTACGAGCCAGAAGACACACATATTAAATATTTTTTCTTTTTTGAAGCACGGTTCGAACGTATTTTCACACCACCAATTACGATGATAATCTGTTGCTGCGAATTTTTTGGTAAATTTTGAGAAATAACTTTAGAGATTTTTTATATTGAAAATTTATCTACATAGCATTACATAAAACCCCTTCAGGTCAAGTTTCTTCAATTTGTAATGAAACACAATTTTGTCCGTTAAAAATATCAAGGAGATTTTGTAAATGCTCGGAGATAATAAATTAGCCAATTGTGAAACCTGTTGATTAAGATCGGTAAATAAAAGTCTGCATTATTTTCATAATTTTACGCAGATCTTGATATTTTCACAATTTTGAGCCATAATGAGAATATGCTATTTACCAGTTGTCCCGTAATTTGCTAAATTTTCATCTTCATCCATTTACATTGCTTTTTAAAGTTGTAATTGATGTTTCCTTTTTTTTCTGCAACTTGATATTGAAAAACTACCACAAATTAGCAAAAAATAAACGAATATTAACTTATATTAGAATAAAATTAACAAAGAGAGTCGAACAAATGTTTGTTGTTTCATCGCTTTTGTTGTTTTATGAGTGTTTTATTTTTAATTATTTGGATTATTCTTCATAAAATCACATTACCATCGATAGTTTCGAATTATGGATGTGTCAGGTATTGATAAAATAAGAAAATGCGAAATTCAATAGAAAGATTAATAATAAAACAAAGTACAAAATAAAATTCCTGCTTATACTGATATGTTGACTTTGAGACTTTGACATTGAGGAAGGATGAGAGGCTGTTTATTAACAACTAATCAAACTATAATCGCATGAAAAATAGAAAAGTATAATATACCTCCCCTTTTTCCTGCAGAAAAGAAATACAATATATCATCTCAAGAAATCCAAAACATTCACAAATGAACATTTTAGTATTAATTATTTATTTATATTTTTAGAAGAAATTAGCCCAATCGACGCCTATAGATTAACTTTATTTATAATTTTGTAGAAAAATATGTCACCCTTACAAAGCTCCACCTTATTATACATTATTGTTTTATTTTTAAATAATTATATATAATAAATACCAGAAACAAAACAATACAATTATTATTATTATTCAAAACGACATGTCACCAACACCTACACACAGTTACAACCTGTTTTTTACGTTTTGTATTTCGTATAGTGAAATGCTGACAATGTATATATAACTTTCTTTTCCATTAATTCAACATTATTTCCGAAGTCGATACGTTCATAAACATTTTTGTTTCAAATACCCCCATAAATAAAAATTCATTATTGTCAAACCGTGGCACCATGTTGATAATAAATTTTCCTGCAAATATAAATATTTATTTTTTTTTATTAACATCTAAATATGTAACTGTTTGAAATTTTACACTAAACATTCACTTTCTTTGAATATTGACTCATAGAAAGATCTTTTTTGATTATCTCGCAAGTAAAAGTTTATTCATTTCCATAATAAAATTGAATTACTAGACAACAAAATTAAAACAATGTTACCAATTTTTTTCTAGAAAAAATTGACAGAAAAGATTGGAACTGTATACAGGAAGTGCCATTTAACACTCCCGCTGTCAATATCTCCGAACTCAAGAAATGTATTTTAGTTCCGGAAACTGGGGTTGTTAGGTCCCTCGAATAGCTTCAAATTGCAGTTAGAATTGTTAGTTCAAATCTTTCTGTATAAATGGCGTAGTGATACTAAAAAATTTGTTGATCCCTGAAATGTGGAAATGCGGCTAAATGCATCTGAAAGGTCGTTAAATTTTGAGTAATTTTTGTAATAATGGGTGACCAGATAGCCATGATAGTTTTTCCAATTCTTATGATTCAGTAGCTGTCAAAATTACCAATGACATCCAGCTGTCAAAATATTCAAGTAACATTTGCCATNATAATGGGTGACCAGATAGCCATGATAGTTTTTCCAATTCTTATGATTCAGTAGCTGTCAAAATTACCAATGACATCCAGCTGTCAAAATATTCAAGTAAGGTTTGCCATTTCAACATGCATCGTTTTACGCTTGCCGAACTTGTGGAAATTATTAAAAAATATTATGGAAATTCCGGCTCAGTTGTAAATACGCAACGTAAATTTCGTCGTGAAGTCGGTCGTCATCATGGCTTCAGTGCGCAGGCAATTCGTCGCACCGTGGAAAAATTTGAGCGTGAGTACACTCTTTTGGACCTTAAGCCACCAACCAGACAGAAATTGGTGCGAAGTGAAGAAAATATAGCCGCCGTAGCGGCCAGTATTGAAGAAGACCCATAAATGTCGATTCGGCGTCGATCAGCTGAATTGGGCATCGTCAGAGAGTCAACCCGTCTTATTTTGCGGTTGGGTTTGGGCTTACATCCATATAAGATTGTGCTGACGCAAGAATTGAAGCCGGACGACCATAGACAACGCCGTGAGTTCGCTAAATGGGCGCTGGAAATGTTGGCTGGAGATCCGGATTTTGGCCAAAAAATCATCTTTTCGGACGAGGCCCATTTTTGGCTCAGCGGTTATGTCAACAAACAAAATTGTCGTTATTGGAGCGAACACAATCCACAAGTGTTCGACCAAGCATAAATGCATCCACAAAGATTGACTGTTTGGTACGGTTTATGGCGTGGCGGCCATGCTATCATGCGACTTGACAGGCAAAAAAATGGTACAATGGTACAAATCTTATAAGGGGCAGAGACGAACCGTATTTTATCAAATATTATTAAAAAAATTCAGTCATAGGTGGCTCATGTTATTTGTTTAAAATAAAACATGCAAACAGATGACACATATTACTTTTCCAATAATTACAGATTTATCGGCTTGCGTCTTTCAATTTAACTATACTTATCTACTAGTTATAAGATTTACCATTGTACTTTTTTTTTCTGTAGTTGATCATTTGATTTTTTATAATTTATTGTTTGTTAATTAGTATGTGGTGTGAATAAAGCCATTTTAACAATATTTTGAAATAATATTTTCTTTCAGTGTGGTTTAACTAAAATAATAGATTTCCCTGTTACATCATACATTGCATATTGAAGTCGACATGTCTCGAAAACAAGTAAATATTGGAAAAAACTTTATATTACAAAAACTACTCAAAATTTAACGATCTTCCACATTCCAGGAATCAAAAAATTTTTTAGTATCGCTACGTCATCTATACAGAAAGATATGAACTATCAATTTTAGCAATTTGAAGCTAGTCGAGGAACCTGGCAACACAATCCCAGTTTCCGGAACTAAAATAAATTTCGGAGATATTGGCAGCGGGACTATTAAATTGCACACCCTATATAGGTGTTGTGACGTTTAAAAGATTTTTTAGTTTTGATTCCAGTATTTAAGAATTATTTAAAAGCAATATTGTCAATATGAAGGTCAAACTTGAAATTTCTTCCTATTTTTTTGTAAAACCAAAAATACCTAAAAAAAATTCGCACATTAACTATTTCACATTTTCCTACTTTCTGAACACCCTAAATTTTGGACGTGCGTAATTGGATATTTGCATAAAAAGATAACCAAACCTTATATATCTAGAGATAAAAGTTTTGTTTGGAAAACGTCTTTCCAAATATGTAAAAGAAAATTCTCTACAACATCAAATAATGTTTTTTTGCAACTGAAATTTTTCAGATCTCTTCTAATTTCAACGCCAGTAGTTTTGTTTATTTTATATACAGTGTGGTACTTATGCATCTACCGACAATAAATTAAATGATTCCTATGTTGATTCTAAGAATAAAGTTTATATAAGCTTGTATTTTAAGCAACCTAGTTTCTGAGCTATATTAAATTTTAAAAAATTGGCCATATGACAAAAACCTGAAAAACCAATTTATTTTGATTTGGTACCCCGTAGTATTTCCTTCAAAACTTTATAACTGACATACTTAATACTATTTTATAACGCCATAGGCGTAGAAGATATATTAGTATATTTATTGAGGAAAGAATTGTTCGCCACTGATTATTTTGAAGGAAAATTCTGTTTCATTAAAAAAATTTGCTTCTTAAAATTTTGCTAGGAACAGTCCCTTTCTAACAAATTGCAAAAGAAATACCTTCTATGCTTAGTGGAAAAGATTACTGAGAAACCTAACGAATAATACGTATTTGACGTATTACACCAAACTTAATTACATTAAAAGTGTCCACATTAACACATGTTAACGCATTTAATTTTAATGAACGAACAGTCAAATAAAGTCTCCAATAATACCTACATAAAAGTTGCATGAAAAGAGATGTTGATCATTAACTAAGGTATGGTGTCGCGTGAAATTTTTAATGGTGTTCTGGGAGAAATTAACCTAGTCAGTAAAAAGAATATAATTTAGAAACAAAGCATCTTTAGCTGTTTTATAAGGTACTTATTAACAGTAATTTAACCATCCAAGAAAATAATCATCTGGCAATAATGTTTGCTTTCTCTGAATAGCATCCATTTCTCGAGCACTTTTTTTGTTTTAAGTCCTTCAATATCATCACTACATTTCACAAAAGTTCCAACTCATTGAAGTCGCTGGTGGATGCTTGGGAAAGTTTTTGCACAAGATAAAACTCGTTGAGGATATCTACACTAATTTATCTGTATTCTTACTGTACTGTTAGCAATACCTTAAACAAAATACATATCTCCATTACTGAGTTTATAAACTGAGGCCTTATGAAGAAGTTATCAATTTCTGAAAAAATAGCCCTTAGTTTACTAATAAATACTATTCTTAGCTTAGCTTATCTTCATTATGTGTAGCCGATACTTTTTTGTAATTTATTCGAAGATGCCTATTTCTGGTAAAATTAAAAAATCATAGATTTCGTTTATTTAATGAAACTTCAAGGATTTGTCATCCAAACTTCGAAATATCAGTAGTGTACCTACTATTTTTTTCTCAAATACTGTTTTGTATCCTTATACACTCATGGCGATATAAAATTTATTTAGTAAGTATAAGTCACAAATTAAATTATCTAGAAACTTTTGTAGTGTACCAAATTTTAGTACACTTTTTCTGGTGATTACTGTTATATTGATAAAAATTATATTTTTTCTGTAACTCGGAAACAAGAACATATGTTCATCGGAACTTTTTTCATAGGATTCTTTCCACTTTATTATGTGAACGTACCACCCAGGTGGGTGACTGCTATTAAGGAATTGCAGTGTACCAATCGTATCGTATTATGTTCAAGAATTCTTCAGTTTGATCAAACACTATTCACGTCCAATCATTGTAAGAAACTTTTGTTGCAACATCGCTGTTACACAAAATGATCTGAATTGTTTTGTTAAAGATACATAAATTTTTAATTACGGAACTAGTTTTCTGCTACAGATATACTTTTTCTTTTCTCTATGTGCAGGCATTAAATATGTTTATAAAAACATCCTTTCACTCACATGGTTGCTAGTATTTTTCCTTACAGATGATTTTAGTGGAATATTACATTAAATAACCCGCTTAATTTTTTATAAGTGATACAAATAATATTGAAACTCACTCCTTGTGTTACATAATTCAAAGGAAAGCTTAATTTTGTTTGCATAAAAACGTAAGGTATATTTTCAGATACAATATTAATCAAAATGTTCCTTTTTATTATTTATTTAAAAAATAATTTATTGCTAAGATGGAAGTATTAAACAATTTACTTTGTTTATTTACATTTTTAATGATTTCGACTTTCAATTTTGAAAAGTACTTCGTAAATACAAATCTCATTAAAAGGCGTTGATTATCGATTAAAAATAATTCCGCAGTGTTGTCCAGAAAACTGAAATGGAATTATTTTATAAAATATATTCAAACGTTTACATGGGATAATTAGTGATAAATTAATTACAAAATGTCAGATACAATGTTTTGTAAACACAATTTTTGTTAATTTATAATTTTCTAGTTTCTAAGAAATAATTATAAATGCATTCAGTAAGTCTCCAACTGAAAAACTTGTCTACGTGTTTTTTTTTATATAACTAAGGATATTTTCAATGATACTCAAATAAATAATAAATAATAAAAACAAGAACCTTGTAAATCCACTAGTTTCAACGACAATAAAAATTATGAATGTCTGAAAATTGAAAGTACCAAAATTATTTCCCTCATTCATTCAATACGCCTTAAAAAATATATTTTTAATCACATTTCAAGAAATAATTTCACATATGCTGTACATAGGCAAAAAATTATACATACCTACAATCCTTTCTGTTATTAACAGAAACGTAGGTGTCTCTAATAGAGATTTATATTATTTTTTATCTTATTATAAAAATTTAATTTAAGTGAGTGAAGTGTAAGATTAATTTAGAGATATTATTCAAAACCGATTATGTGAAAATAATATTTTTATCAGCAATTCAAAAAAAAAGTTTAAAAATACAAGGAAAATGTGGTAATATTGAATTCTTTCGAGTTAATATACAGTACACTATGAAATGCTAGCTCGACATTAACTACAAATCTTACTTCATTTGTAAAGTTAGGTAGTTTATAAATATACACGTATAGGCTGGGCAATTTTGGTTGGAGTTGCGCAAGCTAAACGGTGATAGATTGGAAGAAAATTACTATAGGAATTTTTTCTTCTCTTTTTTCTTTTCTTTTGTGTTCTTTTTGTTGTCTTTAGTTTATTGCTGTTAAAAAAATTTAAACAACTTTATTATATTTTGATACACGGTCGTTATAAGCCTCAGCAAAATACTTTTTGAATATCTGCATTCATCAATATGACGCCATAACGTGTTTTAGCAATATTTTAAATTTTATTTTGTGACGTTTTAATCTTTGTATCAATTTTCCTATTGAAACCCATCAATAGAAATCTGCCAAATTCGAAAAATTCTTCCTATTTATATTAAAAATCAATAATGTTAGACAGTATTTGCTTGTACCATTAACATAAGCTCAAAAAAGAGAATACAAGACACTTTCATTAGCTCTCTTTCTACTCTTTCTATCTATCTCTATTTATTCTGGATCTTGAAATATCAGTTAAAATTGACCACCCTGTATATTTTGATATTTTAACTGATTTATTGACGCAGTTATTCGCTTGATCGATTATTGTAGGAGACCAGGATATTAAATTCATTCACTTAGCCATTGTTATTTTTTCATCAAAAGATAATAGGTAGTAGGAAATATACCTACTAGAATGAGTTTCTTTTATTAAGTTTATTCAATAAACACACTTACCGCGCCAGGAGGGTTAGCAACTCCCTTTATAACAGCTCCAAGAAGACCTCCTAAGAAACTGCCTATGTCAGAACCACCTCCCTCGTCACCTCCTCCCTATAGATGCATAAATTGATTACAATTTTTTAGTATAACGTGCCCCTTAAAAAATATATAACAAGATAATATATTCTTTTGACGAAAAGTATTTCGGTAATTACTTCCTCACATTTTACACTGCAAAAGTTGATTTCGACATGTGTCATTACAGGTTTGGAGGGAAAAATTAAAAATACTATAAGAAATCTAAAACTAACAAATTTGAAACGAAATAAAAACATCTAAGTGGGCTTCGTTTGATAGAATCGACATGATAAAAAATATAGGCATAATAATTACAACATTTAAATATCTCGATATTAAACATTTTTCTCGAGAAAACCAAACTTTGTAATTTGTTTTATTTATGAACAAAATTTAAACAACATAAGTATTTTATAAAATAAATTTATTTTTCTAAATTTATCAAGTAAATAGGAACTGGTTAAATACATATAATAAAGTCGATTTAATAACTCAATAATTAATATTTATTTTATAAAACTGATACATATATATCTGCCTTTTGTGTTTTTTTTCAATTACGTATTATTCAACTTACCCCAAAAAATCCTCTCAGTAAATCCGTTAAGCCTTGAAAATCATATGAGCCATCATCATTTTGCTAAAAAAAATAACCATGGCATTAAATTACTTTTATTAATTAATAATTTAAGACAAATAAATACTTTACCGTGCTTAGACTGCCCAAGAGACCAACTATGGCTTCCAAATCTATACTGCCATCAGGCTAAAGAAAAAGAATATTGCTTAATTAAGATTGTACATGTTAATTAACAGCATAAACATTTTTAAATTTGGTATAGATTGTTGAATATGACATTGAACTTATCCTTGAATCGAACGTGGTTTTCTTTATTATATGATTCCCGAGCTAGCTTTTTATTAATAATAATTATTAAAATTTTACTTTATTTTTTATTGACCAACAATAATCAACATGTTGACCTTATTTTGATGGTAATTCATTTTATTAGGATTGAAATAATATTTTCCCTTAAATATTAATTCAAGCAATTAATTCGTGTCAACTATATCGACAAAAATAAGTAGAGAACAGATTAAATGTAATTTATTTAAAAAATTACAATTCAAAACTTATTTATTCAAAAATACTATTTTGAAAAATGTTGTAGATATACACCAGAAATATGCAGAAGTGTAGAGAGGCTTTCTTTGCATTCAGATATAGCTTCGAAATAAGAAGTTATTAACTAGAACTTTTAAAGCATGTTCGAAAACCGTTTATAAAAGGTCGCAATAAAAGAATTCTTTTGATATCATTTTTAAATTTACTTTGGAAAAAGTTCTTCTCATAGAATGAACATGTCTCTTTCTCATGTCAAGTTATAGGACGGGGTAGTTTCATGTGAATCATACGATATGTACTTTTCTTCCAAACACCAGTCATCGTTTGTATTTATCAATGAGTAATAATAGAACTTTTTTCTGTTAATGTTGTCGTACATAAGACACTCAATAAAGAGATTTTTTTCATACTTATAAGTAAAATTACAGTAGAATGTTGGTGACTTTTTATTTAGTCTTTAACTAATTCGTTTTTCAGAGATTACAACAGAAAACTAAAAGGAGAATCAAACAATGTCAGAAAGTTTATTTGGGATTGTGACATGTTTTTCAAGGACTGAAACAAATTAGTAATTATGTAAAACGTTTTGTGGTAGATTAAAAAAAATACAATTTGAGTATAGAAAGTAAATATTTAACAGCTTACAATATATTTGTCAATAGATATAGTGAAAGACCTTTTTTTATAATCTAATCTTTCATCCCAATTTTGAACAAATGTTACACCTAAAAAGTGTCATTGGCCTTTTATGTCGTTCAGTCTGTATGGCGAGAGAAAATGAAATATTAAAAAAAAATCATACCCTGCTTAGACCTCCAAGGAAGGCAGATATTAGTCCCGTAACCATGTTACCTTCCTCCTCGCTACTCCCTTCTTCTTGACTTTCGAATTCTGGGTCATTGATTGTCTCATTGAATTCCTGCCTAGGCAACCTATTTGATTCGTTTTCTTCGTTACTTTTATTGCTCGATTCAAAAGGCCTTATATCATCAAATGATCTATTCATTTCATGTACAGAAAACGGTACATTTTCAACAGTTTCAGAATTATTGGATAGAGATGTTGCATTTTCCACATCCAAAATGCTAACTATTGTGGTTTCCTTTAATGAAAAATGATATACTAAGTTATTACAGATTAAACTATTGATGAAATGTTTCAAACGTCGTCTGGTGGTGTATAAGGTTATATTGTACACCATTTTTATGGTCTGTTTTTATGGAGAAAGCCGTAGGCTTTCACATATTTTCTATATTGCTAATCCCAAATACCAAATGATTAATTTAGACCTAGCAATAATAAAATAAATACTTGCAATTACTTGTTTTATTAAAACTGAAATTAATAATGGTTATACTGGTAGTAAGTTCTTTAACGAATTAATAAATTATTAAGTGACTCGGACAGCACCTCGCATAAACAATAAAAAAAATTGTCATCATCGTACAACATGTCTATATTACATAGATTACACAACAGACGGCATTTTTTTTAATAAACACAGCAACGAGTTGCGTTATGTCATCCACGATCCCTACAACTAGTACAAGCAATTATTAGAAATTGAAGTCAAAGGTCAGCAATGTTTTCGTTAACGAATTTATAATGCCCAAATAGGTTAGGCAAATTGCGTACGTGGCGCAACAAATAACGCATTTAGAGGCTTTCAAAAATATTTATGTCAACCTAATCTAGTAGTTACAAAATTAGACACTTAATAGCTTAGAAGTGTTAAATTGAGAAACGAAATTTTATGTGACTGATATTCACGGTGCAATTTCGTATACGGCGATTAAATGTAATTACTCCGAAGATAAAAATTAATTACTCGTTTCGTATGGTTGGTAATTTTGGTTTTAATTGCTATTCTCATAAGATATTTCAACAACATATAGGTGAATTATTTACTGTGTATCTAAAATTAATGTCTGTTTTAATTTAGTAGTCAGTCTATATTTTGTATTATCAATGTCTGCATTTTTACCCTGTGTTTAAAGGAATCACGATTATTAATTCTAAAAGTGTTAATAAATTCTCTTCAACGGAACATAGATATTCTTCAATAGTCAATATACCAGGAGTTTCAGGAATAATTGAACCAAATGGGCTGCATCCATAGCTATCCGCAATTTTTTGTCTTCTACTTGGGAAAAGTAGAAAAAATATAATTTTATTGAAAGTCATTTGCCATGTATATCAGTCATTGAGGGAAATACCAAGAATCAGTATCACTCAGTGTCGGTATCAGTATCAGTATCAGAAATTCGTTGAACTTTTGTATTATGCTAAGCAGTAGCAAGGGGTATAGTCTCGACAAAACATCAAAATTCTAGGCTAGTAATTTCAAACTTTCCATTAATATGTGTATTGTACCTAATACTATCCTTCAAAATAATAATAATAATAAAAATAATAATAAAAATAATAATANTTACTTTTAACAAAATGAAAAATTTCTAGGCCAATGATTTTCTGACATTTTCATTAGTCAAAATCGCATTTCTAGAAAAAAATCCTATAAAACATCGATTTCTGAAATTCATAGCGATATCAATCACCACTTGTTGAAGTATTTTAATAAAAATTCAGTGAACTTTTACTTTTAATTTGATAAGTCATTTGCCAATGTATCATTATTCAATGACAAACATCTTCAGAGATATTTTAGACATGTTTTTTTTTTCAAAATCCCGTATGTCCATCACAGTATTCTTTTTTCTTATTTTGTAAAATAAGAATTGAAATATAATAAAATTTCTGATCTAAAAGTAAAATACTTGTTTCTTGTGAGAAAAATACGTTCCTGTCATACTGAAATTATTAAATCATACTCGAACTCTTACTCTGGGAAGCAATTATTTTGCATTTAAAATTAAACTTTTATTTTTTCATTTCCTATGAAAAAATTGATACAACCTAAGAATTTTAATAAAGTACATTAATAGATTTAAGATAATGGCTACCTGTGTCGACCTTAGTTCAATTATTGTTCATCATAAAATTCAGTTCTAAAAAAATTAGATAACCATACAGCAAAATAATTGCACTGGTAACGCCGTAACTTGGAATAATTTCTTTCTTGGAGCCATCTTACAAGTAAGATATTCCTTGTGGATCAAGATATTCCTTGTGGATTCAGTTGCAAGATTTGACCCGTACTAACAAGGCAAGTTAATTAAAAGCTTATAATAATAATTATTAAAATGTTAAAAAACAAGCAATTTTGGGCCATCAAAGGAAAAGTATGAAACCACTATTTTTATTCTAATTTTGGGGTGCTGAATACGAATATGCTATTTATTTTTCCAGAAAACGACGTGAACTGAGACAAAACAACCCCTGTATGAAGGGGAAAAAAGAATTTATGAATACACAAAGAATTATTTACGAATTTTGTAAAATACATATTTTTTGTTGGGCAACTTAAATCAGACTTAAATTAGGAAACGACTATTGTGGACATAAAATCCAGTTTCTTTCAAAACAAATTCTCTAGCGGTCATGATAGTAGTTCAAATGAGAAAAAGGTACTTGACTTATATAAGTTACACACCCTTTCACACCCTCATCACCTGTAGAGGTAAAAATTACATGTAACTGTTTCAAAGCCTAATTGTTTTTGTATTTGCTGCATATTTTTGCATGGATGAAAAGGGGGTAAACGGGTAAAATAGCGGTAAAATCTCACCCTCGTCGGGGTTTGAATAAGGTTAAAGAACAGCTGACAATTATTACAAAAATTATGATACTCAATTAAACTCTTACTTTGCAAGATTCAATAATATTTGTTTAAATAAAAAATGAGCTTTCAAACAGTTACATGTGTTTACCTAACTATTACCATGACCGTTAAAGAATTTTATTTGAAAGAAATTTGGTTTTATATCCACAATAGTCGTTTTCACCTCCATAAGGGGATAAAAAGGATAAGATGGGGAAGGTAGTTTAGAATGGTATTCTTTATACCGTCTGAGTTAAGTTACTCAACAAAAAATATATTTTACAAACTGGTTTGTAAATAATTCCTTGTGAAATTATAAATTCTTTTTTTACCTCCATACAGGGGTTGTTTTAAATGTGTTCCCGTCGTTCTCGGGAAAAATAAATAGCATATTCGTATTCAGCACTTCAAAATTAGAATAAATATACTGGTTTCATACCTTTCCTTTGACGGTTCAAATTTGCCAGTTTTTTAACATTGTTCTTTCGATTCCATTGTTCGTGTGACTACATAGTTTAGATAAAATAGAGGTGAAGGTAGATTTGTAGTCAGTGAAGATAGCTCCTAAAAAAGTCAGTTCCGATTATTCCTTGAAACGGTGTGATTTTCATGAGCAATGTACTTACATAGTGAATTAAACGTATATCCTTATTAAAAAAAACGGCAATACAACTGTATATGTCTAAGAATGATATTATATATCCACCAAATAGTCAAAAAATGCTGGATACTGAATGTTACTCACAGTAAAGTGAACTATGGTTCTCATATTAAACATTTATACATTCACACTACTTGTTACAATTGTTTTATAAAAAACTTTATAAATCTCTGCCAACTCCTTTCTACTAAATCCATGAAATTATTTTCCACTTAATTTGTATTGGTAAGTATGAATGAATGTATGCTTGGAAATATGAAAAAGAAATTACTGGTTTTTTAGTAAAATAAAATGTTCAGTTCCACCTCATGTAAGTACAAACTAGAAAAATGTTCCAGTTTATTTATTAGTTGTTTCCGCATAGCATAATAGTAAAAACAATCATATAAAAGTGTAACAAAGAAATAATGGTATCAAACCTCGTTAAGACATTCTGTAATGAACAAATATTGTTATTATACGAATCTGTTAAAAAAATTGTCAGTGTAATTCCTACAAATGTTTGTCAGTGTAATTCCTACAAATGTTTGTTTAAAAATGCTAAAATACCTCATTGCATCATTTGCAGTAGTGAGAATATACTTTTACATTTGCAAGAAATATTATATTTGAGTATAAAAACAAGCAACAGGAAGTGGATTTTAACTTTCTGTTAAGGTCAAGAATCGTTCAAGTGGATTCAAATGTTTTAAATTGTGTTGTTTTAGTACAGTTTTTGTAGGTGTTCGTATTTTTGAATGGCACTTTCAACCGTATAAAATTAGACAGGCGTTGCGCTAATCAAATTGTCTACACAATTTGAATTTACAGGACATATGATTGATATCTTGGAAATCATCATTAACAGAGAAATTACTAAATTGAGGCGAAATAATTAAATTTTGTGAATAACCATTTTCCGAAAAAAAATTGGAAATTATAGGTATTAGAACTTTAATTGTTACTTTTCTTCTATTAACAACCACCAGCAGCTTCACTTACTGTTGAATGACTTTCAATCCAAAAATATCATTACTATAATTTTTTGCGTAAGGATGTTAATATTTACAATATTAAGTTTCTAATCTTTATTCACTATAATATATTAACTGTATTTATTATATTAATAGGCTTTTCACTGCTCTATTTTCTTTAACATTTACTGAGTTAAGGATAGATTACTTTATTACACCTTTTTTATGTCAACACATTTAATTGTTTAATGCAATGATTATTATTCCTTAATTACAATTGTAATTTTCTGTTTTAATTGACCGTGTATCGATAGCATTTATCGGAAGGGATATGTTGATATTAATGGACATTTTAATATCTACAAATTAATACATATTAAAACTATAACCCAACCGTGACGTCTGCGACTGTTCTTTGTCGACGGAAACTAGAATAAATAATTTTTATTGGGCAATAATAATTAGCAAAAGGCGATACATTTATGTGACTACGACCTTCAAAGTACATTTACTTTGTATACAGAAAAAAATGACCGCTGTCCCGGACTTGGTTTTTCTATGTCGCAGTTCAATGAAAAGGAAATTTAACTAACAAATTGGTTATTGAGACTAAATTTAGACAAAAGTTAAGGTTAATAGACAGATTTGGATGATTTTCTTACTGAGTTCTAAGAATAAGAAATAGTTTTGTAACATGGTTGATTAACATTTCACACCTCCTGTCTTTCCTTTGTTTACTTTCCAAAACTGCTTTAAGCAGCCAAAGTAATTTACAAGATGTTTAAACGTTGTACTAAAACAAAAGCTTAAAATGAAAACTCAAGAATAAAATCATTTTAAATCATTGTACCTTGTTGATAACATCAATAATTATAGACTTACAGAGATGCACTCATTGACTGAGCTTACCTTAATTGTTGTTGAATTATTTGCAAATGTTTTTGATAATGTTGCGAATTTTTGTTTTCTTCGGCTGATTTTAGATAAACTAATATTAATAATTACGAAAATGAGATAAGTTAACCCCACAATCATTTAAAACTTACGCAATATATAGAATTGTGCATATACAAGGTGTCCCAATATTACGTATGAATAAAAGTAACATAGACTGTTGGAGTCGAAGGAATCTATTCTGTAAATGAGAACCACATTCAAATTTTTGTAATTATTCCAATTTGACGAACATAAAATTAGAATTTGGTGAAAAACTGTAATTTTAGGCGTTTTAATTATTTGGAAAGAACTATTTTTTTTGCTCCTCCGGAGAAAAACTTTGGCGAGAGGTAAATCAAATTAAATGGTCATATTCCGAATCCAATAATTTGGTGTCTTCCCATGTATACGATATATTGAGACACTGTATAGTTTCAGCACCAGAACTTCGATGAAGAATAAAAATTCTACAGGGTGTCCCAGTGTCAGCCTACAAAATCAGATCAAATCAAAATAACATTATAATTCTTATACTGCGATGTACTGTCACTGAGTTACAGGGTGTTGTTTAAAAAAAATAATAACAACTTTCCGCAATAACTCAAAAACCCTTTCAGGGATTTAAGTTATTTTTGGGTGAAGTATACCTATTATTCTATTAAAGGTCATTAAAACTGCATGGTGCTTATTTCGATCTGACGCCAGGGGCGGCCTAGGCCAACTTGTCCTCAAGGTTAGGTATGTATTCATAACTTTTGCATATCTTAGTTTTATGTTAATTTGATTAAGTGTTCCTGAATCTGCAATAGATTCTGAACCAAAAATGTGCTCTTGTTTCATAGCTCAAAAATGAAGCGTTTTCAAGTAAATTGGACCTAAAGTATCGCCTGTATTAATTCGTAGAAAAATACGTGTAAAGATTTTATTTGTGGTTATCTAGTAGGTACCTTTCATTATAAAAAACAAAGTTGTTTACAAGCGAACATGTCAAAATTAATTACGGTACTATACAGTTACAAGAAATTAAGTTTATAAAACAAGATATTAGATATTATCAAATTTTCCAATAATGAATACGCTGATATGATATTTGTTCACGGTTTCTGTCATGGAAATTCATTGGTGGCTTCACGACAGTATCTACGTAGGTTTCCAAACAGAAGGCAACTTTCACAGCACGTATTCCAACGAGTTTTCCAAAGAGTCCGTGAAACTGGGAGTGTTAAAATAGGAAATACCAGAATAAGAGGTGATTTGGAAGATGCAAGCATTTTAGAAGAAAATATAATAGCTGCTGTTGTTAATGATCATTCCGCCAGTGTCCGAAGAATATCGACGCAAGTAGGTATTCCACGAAGCAGCGTCTGGAAAATTTTAAACCAAGAAGAACTGCACCCATACCACCTACATAAAGTACAAACTTTGCCTCCTGCTGATTCCGAAAAAAGGATACAATTTTGTAGGTGGTTGTTAGAAAATATTGATATTGATGACGAAAATGTCCATTAAAAGATATTGTGGAGCGATGAAACTATTTTTAAAAGAAATGTTATAAATAATTTAAAAAATTTTCATGTTTGATCCATTGAAAATCCGAATGTGACATGACCCTCCTCGTTTTAATGAAGATTCTCCATAATTGTCCGGGGAGGAATCTTCAACGGAGTCATTCTGCCTCCTCAAATTATTATTGTAGACCGTGAATTCAGAGAGATACACGGATTTTTTAGAAAATATTATTGATGGCGTGCTAGATGACGTTCCCTTAGCTTAGCGAAATCAAATGTACTATCAACAAGATGGAGCAACCTACTCGTAATGGAAGACAGGTATCTGCGTGGCTCGATTTACATTTTTCAGAATGCTGGAATGGAAAAAATGGACCTATTATGTGGCCTCCCAGGTTACCTGACCACAACCCGCTTGATTTTTTTTACTGAGGTCATATGAAGCAACTGATGTATGCCAAATCCAGTAACACGAGAGACGATTTACTTCAAAAAATGAATGCAGCCGCCGAGCAAATTCAAGCAACCGTTGATTTGCGAAGGGTTTACAATTCCTTGGGCAAACGATGTCGGGCATGCGTTGAAGTAAATGAACAGCATATTCGAGCTTTCATTGAAATAATTGTTTTCTATTTTTATTTTTAATATTGTCATTTTGCTAACATAATTTCGTTTCTGTTACATAATTTTCAATTTCATTTTTAGTTCCCCTATAGTAGTAGTAGTAGTAGTATAATCTTTATTCATAGAACCCATACAGGACATGATACTCAACCAAATATTAAATAATTCATAGAAAACTTGTTTAGTTTTTTCATATACATTGAGCTGCAGCTACATGGGAAACTGTAACACAACGGTAAACAACTTTGTTTTTTTATAATGACAGGTACCTATTATATAACAATAAATAAAATCTTTACATGCATTTTTCTATGAACTAATGCAGTCGATATTTTAGACCCAATTTACTCGAAAACGGTTCATTTTTGAGCTATGAAAAGAGAGCACATTTTTTGTTCAGAATCGATTGCAGATTAAGAAAAATGTTAAATTACATAAAACTAGGATATGCAATAGTTATGAAGACATAACTTTGAGAACAAATTGGCCTAGGCCGCCCCTGGCGTCAGACCGAAATAAGCACCATGTAGTTTTAATGAGCTTTAATAGATGTACACCTTACCCAAAAATTACTTAAATCCCTGAAAGGGGTTTTGAATTATTGCGGAAAGTTGTATTATTTTTTTCTAAACAACACTCTGTAACTCAGTGAGAGTACATCGCAAAAAAATATTTTATATGAATTTTAATTTTATTTTGATCTGGTTTACTCCCTGGTAAATTTTTGTACGCTGATACTGAGACACTGTATATAAAAAGAATAAAATTCTCATAAATTGAATTTTAGTCAGTTCCTGAAAATAAACACTAATAATTCTGAAACCGTCAATCGATGCAACAGATCGTACTATTCTGTTCCTATTTTCTTGACAATAGGTGCACCGCAAAAATATAATGCTTTACTTTTTTGCCTCAAATGTTTAAAATACATATATTATTTTGCAATATGTATATAGTCGAAATAAATATTCGTCACAAATATTTGTATTTCCTCACTTCTCAATTTTCTACAATATAAAACTCACCATTATTTAATGCTTTGAAAACGCAATCAGCAACCAATCAATAAATCAATATATTTGGAAAATAAATATAAAAACTTACCTCTTGCACCTCATTATTTATATTTGCAATATTTTCCTCAGCAACATCTTCAGCTTTAACTGTAACTTTTAACATAGAGTCATCGTCTTCGAAATTATTAGGCGAATATTGATAACTTATAGCATCATCATACTTGGGTAGGTAATTATCAAAATCCTTAAAAGATAATGTTTAATTTATAAAAATAATATTGCTTCCACCATTATCTTACATTTTCAAGCATTTAATGGGCATTTACCCCAACAGTTAGTGGAGTAGTGATTTTTCTGAATTTATTTTTTGCACAACAAGAAAAATCATGAAATATTAAAATTACCATCACTTCATTTATACTAACAAATGTATTTAGTTTGTGATTCCTCTAAGACCTTCTATATTCAAAAATTTATCTTTTATGTTAAAAACTTACATTGAAACGATACCCTTCTGCGAGCCCCCTAATAAGATCCAAAGGAAAGGCACTAATTACTGACACAAAACAAGAAAACATAAAACAGAATCTGAACATGCCGTACAATTATTTTCCTATGACAAGTATCAACTATAAATTGGCAACTTATTTAGCTAAAGGTTCAAAGAAAACTGTCAGTGTATGGTCATCAAAACGTTGAAAATAAGGGAAGAGCATTGCAGCAATTCGTAATACATATTATTTAAGTTAAAGCTCACTTCCAGTCTTTGGAAATGTGATCGAGAACCAAAATTAAATTGCTGTTCCAATTGTTTTGTCACAATGCTTAGACATAAACTCATAACATTGAATAGACAGTCTTGTTGTAATGCATGTATTATAATAACATGTAATCTTTTCGTTAAATTATAGTTTAAAAATGAAAGTTTGTGATAGGTTGGGATAGTACACAAATTCTGTTTAATATTTCCGTTGGATAACCTGCTTGTGACTTTATACACAGGGTATTCAAAGAAAATACAGTCATATTCGAGCGTTATTAGGATTAGCTAATTATTTTATTTCAATTCTTTTTTAGTTTTTCGCATTTTATGAAATTAAATTGAAACCATTTTTGGTGTTAAAAGCATTTATTCTTAGTAAAAATTTTAGTCAACTAACAAATGTAAAAATGTTTTCTGGGAGCACGCTGTATATTCTAGATTGCGGATTATGCGAATGGACTTTCAGAATTTAATGTCTGTGTTTACAGAAGGTATTACTAACTCTTTTTATATATTTTTTTTAACCTCTTGTGATACACCCTCATATCAATTATTTCCGTAATTGCCAGTCTTATTCATGGAAAAAAGCGAAAAAATTAATTACCTATACAGATTTTCACAAAAAATAAGTAAGCGAATCGGTTTACTTAATTGTTGTGTTTAAGAGCTGGGTGACTTTCGAAATTTTTTCATTAACAGAAAGTAACTGAATTACACCCATAGAAATCAAGGTTACCGTTTAACTCGTGTATTTACAAATTGGAATAATTAATAAAATGTATAAACCAATTCACTATTGTACTTTTTATTTCGCGGAAAATTATGTCACACAATGAACCAAAGTACAACATTCAGTTTGAGGTGAGAGCAAACAACCACAATTTTTTCCTCGGTGCTCAGTGAATAACTAAATTGGGCAAAAAATTAATGTAAATTTAATATTACCCACCAAAAACGTATAAAAGACATGAATTTGAAGCTTGACCTTTAGCCATTCTATTTCTTTTGATATTTCTAGGGAGTGGACATATACTCACCAAAAAAAACTGTTTGTTTAACTATTGCATTTAATCATTAAAATAGAATTATTTAAAAAAATACTGTAAACAACCGAATATCTTCTTGGCTAATTAGGGAATTACGAAAAAGCTTCAATTTACTTTTATAAAACTGCCTATTGTATTTTTTACCTTTCTTTTAATGATATTAGGCAATACTACTGAATTATAACAATTTCTCAGGTAAAGTTATGTATCTGACAGCAATTATCAACAAAGACTAAAAGTATTTACTGAATTTTTTTCATTAGTACGTTTACAAAGTTTTCGTAGAAAGAAAAAACAAAACAGAAAGAAAAATAGCCTCTTTACCTAATTAATATATTATGTGTCCAAAATTCACGCAAGAAAAAGACAGCGTGATATCTGGCAGTTCAGAGTTATTCAAAATGTAGGGTTACACGACAGAACAACGCGTTTTTATTGTTGAGCAGTATTTTAAAAATAATAATTACGGTTTAGTAGCTAGAGTTCGCAAATTTCGTACATGATCGGAATAGAGATTTAACTTCATCAACTGTCAAGATATTAGTTGAAAAATTAAAATCTTAAACACTCTGGCCGTCTTTCGACAAGTCGTTCAACACAAAACATCGAAGCAGTTCGTGAGAGTGTTGCTGAGGGTCCAGGAACCTCAATTCGGCACCGTGATCAAGAATTAGAAATTTCAAGTAGCCATCTGCAGGGTATTCTCACGAAAGATTTACATCTTTATGCTTACAAAGTTCAATTGACTCAAGAACTAAAGCTTACTGACCACGCAGAGCAAAGAGAGTTCGTTGAATGGATTATGGTACAAGTAGGTGCTGATTCTTCGAACAAAATCATCTTCAGCGATGAGACTCATTTTCATCTTGATGACTTCGTTAATCTACAAAATTGTCACATTTTGGGTCAAAAAAATCCACTCGTGATTGTTGAAAGACAATTACATCCACAACGTGTCGCTGTCTAGTGCAGAGTTTGGACTGGAGACATCATCGGACCATTCTTCTTCGAAAATGCGGCTGGTCTGGCAATAACAGTTAATGGAGCTCGCTATCGCGACATGATGATCCAGTTTTTTTTTGTACCTAAGTTGCAAAATATGAATGTAGACAACATGTGGTGTCAACAAGGCAGTCCCACGCACCATACATCTCAAGAAACAATTAAATTACTGCATGAGTCATTTTCTTGTCGCGTAATTTTCCCATTTGGTAATCAGAATTGGCCGTCCGGATCATGCGATTTAACGCCTTTGGACTTTTTTCTTTGGAGGCCATTTACCCGGTATGCTATTCAATACATAACCCGGTACTGTATGCTTTATGAATCAATAAAATATTTACAATTAAAGCCTGTGTTTGCTATCAAAATTACTTGTTGCATGAATTTTGGGGCACCCTTTATATGCATCGTGTCATCATATACATAAGCAAAATATTTTTAATGGGGTTTTGTCAAAATCGTATACCTGTAGTCAGCTGATATTGACACAAAATCCTTTTCAGTCAATACAACATTTATACTTTTTATAAACACGATAAAATCTAAATAAATACTAATAGATTAGCTATATTTACTTTTTATGCATCGTAGAAAAAAATCGTGCCAATATTAATTCGAATTAAAAATTATATGATTATAGATATGGGTAAGAATTTAATTTTTTTTGTGGTACATTTGTGGAATATTTTTTGAAACGGGCGTGTCTCGTTTATATAAATTTACATATATTAATAGTATTTTTTTCTAATTATGTGTCTTATAATGTTTTAAAATTTATATTCAGTTACGACAGATATCGTGACAAACACCAACTGCATGAGCTACAGGCCCTAACTAATATTGAATAGGCCAGGCAAAAGAGGTGGGAAATGACCATTTCGCGACTTTTTGTTTCGGCAAGCTGACTTTATCACTATAGATGCTAAATATTATGTACAATAACATATTAGTTTCCACAGTCACAAAAATGGGGGGAATATTGTTTACAAGCTGGTTAATTGTATAATTTTTACGTAAATTCACGTTTTTCGCTTATAACTTTTTCGTTCAGTTCCACGAGAAAATAGTAAAGTACTTTTTTAAGTCTTCAAAAAAACCTACAAAACTAGCCCTCGAGCGTTAAAAAATATTGATTAAATCAAAAGTTATAAACAGAAGTTGATTTATGACTTTTGAATTAAACATTTATAAACTGCGTTATTTTTACCAGAACGTTTTGGCATCGCATCCTCTCATTCCTTATCACTGTCTAGTAACTCACACGAAATCTGGAATCGGTAAGTTGAATAGTTTACAAGTGATAGGCTTATAAACAAATTAACTATTTATTAGTCTGGATCCCGAGCATCTTCCACAATCGCACTGATTTTTTCATGGTAGATTTCATAATAATACATTGAAATCTGTCATTTTTTTTTTAATTTCAAATTTGTAACCGGGAAAGTTTTTTTATTTTTCAGCCTTAGCTGCAAATGAAATATACGACGCTGAGCGTGATATAGTTATATATTATTACATATTCGATAAGCTTATGAAAAGAGCTTTAAGTTAAAAAAAAATCGTCAAAATTCGTTGAAAAACAACGGAGTTATAGACTGTCAATCTTGACGGCCTATTGTTAAACAAATTAAGTTGTAATTGTAATAGTAATAGTTGTAATTGTATTAGTTGTTGTTGTTAAGTAATATACGATAAGCTTATGAAAAGAGCTTTAAGTTAAAAAAAAATCGTCAAGATTCGTTGAAAAAACAACGGAGTTATAGACTGACAAACTTGACGGCTTATTGTTAAACAAATTAACTTGGTAGCGACAAAAAAAATAGTGTCATAACCGGCAACCCGAGTACTTTCCCAAATAAAAATATTTTATTTGTCGAAGTATGTTACGTGCATACGAAATATTGTCAAAGGTCAGTGGGTCACTTGATTTTTCGGCGAGCCGTGGCGCGGCGGAAGAGTGGGGGAAGCGAACGACAGCGAGTCCGAAGAAAATGAAATATTCATAGTCCTGCCGTTAAAAAAGCGAAATTCGCTTGAAAATAATATATGTGACAGTCTGTAACTCCATTGTTTCTCAACGAACCTTGACGATTTTTTTTAACTTAAAACTCTTTTCACAAGTTTTCCGAATATGTAATAATATATAACTATATCACGCTCGTGCGTCATATATTTCATTTTGCAACTAAGGCTAAAAAATAAAAAACTTTCCAGGTTGCAAAAAAAATGATAGATTTCAATGTACTATAATGAGATCTACCATGGAAAAAAATCAGTGTGATTGTGGAAGATGCTCGGGATCGTCCAGACTAATAATCAGTTAATTTGTTTATAAGGCCATAACTTGTAAACTATTCAACTTACCGATTCCAGATTTCGTGTTAGTTATTAGACAGTGATAAGGAATGAGAGGATGCGATGCCAAAACGTTCTGTTAATAATAACGCAGTTTATAAATGTTTAATTCAAAAGTAATAAATAAACTTCTGTTTATCTAACT